GGGATAATAACAAATCTCTTAATCACTAATATTGCTTAATTTATGTATATGCGAATCATCCATATTAAGGTTTTGGATAAAATATTTAGAATTTATACATGCTTATCTGAATTATAAAATTTAAATAATTTACTAATATTTTAAAAATAAAACTTAATTATATAAAATATATATATTTTTTAAAACAAAATATCTTTCATCAAGAGAAAGACCTTCAAAAATTCCCCACAATTCTGAATCCAAAGTCGAACATTTCTTAACCGTTTTGGAAAAACCTTCAATCCATCTTCTATCATGGTTTCGAGTTAGACCACCACAATTTGCATAACCATCATTATTATTGCGAAAGCTTTCATTTGGTGGACACTGCCACCTAACATTACGATTCACAGGCGTTGTCCGAGGTGTACCATTTAAGCACGAGTAGCATGTGGATGGCCAGCTCCCGATTTAAGTTGAATACTCTTGGGAAAGAACCGAGTAGCAGCATGTGCACGAGTAGCATTATATTCTTTAATTATTGTTATTTTTCAAATATTCTTAAGTAGATCGTGAGCAGAGAAACGAGTGTGTTTACACTATTGTTGGAAAATTTTCAGTCCATAGAAAGAAACGTGATAGAGCATCCTACCTTGTTGGAAATTTTGATGTAAAGTCTTTGTCTCTCACATTGACGAAAAGCAAGAGGTAATTACTCTTATATTAGAAAAAAGGGAATTAGGCTTAAGTTCCACGAAGTTTTCAGATATTGATGACGAGCTTGACATGTGATAAGATTAACTAATAATACTTTCATATATCCCATAGAGAAAAACGTTGACCCATTCTTAGCTCACCTATGTCGTATGCTTTTGTGGCCAATATTGTTAACCCATTCTATACTACAACGAAAGGGACCACCCCTCATGTTTCCCAGAAATTCATTCATCATTAAGGCTCCACTCATACTTACATAAATTGGATACTTTTAAAAAAAATTACAATATAATTGACTTGATAAAGAAAAAAAATAAAAGAAAAGTGAAGTTAAAGAGTGGAGTATATACTTACATGCACATCTAATTCGTAAAGAAATATTTTTCTTCGGTTAACTTTTGATTGGAAGTAAAAAAGTTTTCTTGGAATAGGGTTGTTATCTCTTATAAATGAATTTAGGGTTACAAATATTCTTGTATTTTTTATTTTTAACATTTAATAAATACTTTATTTACACGTCATTTAAAAAAAATAAATTACACGAACTTATATATTTATATTATATACTTCTTTTTTGAATGAAAGAGAGGAACAAATAACTTTAGCTAATACTAGCAAGCATCGAATCATCCCAAAATTCCTGCTAAAACAAAGACATTACGGTCAATGGTGGATCCTGAAAAATGTGCAAGCCAGCAGGGAGGGACCAAGCAATATTGGTCATAAGAACGGCCAAACGGTTGCTCTCACGAGGTGCGTATGTGAAACTCAAATTCCAGCTGCGTCCAATAAAGCGCCAAATATGTTGTAACATCGAAGAGACAGTCATGCTTCTCCTATTACCAGTAAGTAAATGAATGACTTGTTTACTATCCGATTTAACACAAACTGATTGCAACCCCATATTCAATGGCTTGTTTACTGTCCGAGGTGTACCAGTTAAAGCACTAGTAGCATGTGCATGGGCAGCTCCCGATTTAAGTTGAATACTCTTGGGAAAGAACCGAGTAGCATGTGCACGACTAGCATTATATACTTTAATTATTGTTATTTTTCAAATATTCGTAAGTAGATTGTTGGAAAATTTCAGTCCATGGAAAGAAACGTGATAGAGCATCCTACCTTGCTGGAAATTTTGATATTAAGTCTTTGTCTCTCAGGTTGACGAAAAAGCAAGAGGTAATTACCCAATAATTTTCTATTGGAAAGAAAAGGGAATTAGGCTTAAGTTCCAAGAAGTTTCCAGATATTAATGACGAGCTTGACATGTGATAAGATCAACTAATAATATATTTTATAATTATAAATATATTTTTACAATAAAAAAAATACTCGCTCTATTCCATAAAAAATGTCTCTTATTGATTTTTTAAAAGTTAAATTTTTTAAACTTTAACCATGATTTTTTAAATATTTAAATTTTATAAAATATATATTTACAAATTACTTGATTGAAGGTTTCTAAAATATAGTTTTACATATTTTTATCAATAATAAATTTTGAATCATAATTAGTCAAAGTTTAAAAAAATTAACCCAAAATATCAATAATATACATTTTTTATGATAAAGAGAAAATATTATTATTCTATAATATTTGGATCATTATATCAAAAGATAATAATGATATTCACCGCTACAATCCAATGTATATATGATTTTTTTTAAATAAATTCAGTCAATATAAGGTTGTAAATATTTAAATATTTTTAATCTTTTTGATAATAAACACTCATACTCTTATACATATGGTACTTGAACTTAAAATTTCAAAATATTTATTAAAATCCTTCAACTATTAAAATTTATTGGTCAGTGTACATATGAATCATTTATGGATAAAATATTTATAAATTATATTTGCTTATTCGAATTACAAAATTTACATAATTTAAAAATATTTTAAAAATAGAACTTAAGTATAAAATATTTAAAACAATACATGAACTTATGTATTTCTATTATATACTTTAATTATTGTTATTATTCAAATATTCGTAAGTAGACCGTGAGCAGAGAACCGAGTGCGTTTACACTATTGTTAGAAAATTTCCAGTCCATAGAAAGAAACGTGTCCTACCTTGTTGGAAATTTTGATATCAAATCTTTGTCTCTCACATGGACGAAAAGCAAGTGGTAATTACCCAATAATTTTCTATTGGAAAAAAAATGAATTAGGCTTAATGTCCACGAAGTTTTTGGAGGGTGCTAAAAGATATCTGATTTTATTGACGCGGTTTGTTGATCTATTGGTCCAAAATTTAAAAAATCAGATAATTAAAAGAAGTTATTCGACCAGATAAGATACTCGACTTGATTTTTCTCGGGTAGGTGGGTTGGTTCCGGACCGAATTTTTTTATAACTGGGTATCCGACCCAATCTAGTAATTTTAATATATATATATATATTAGTTTAAATTATATTTTTATTTTTGGTTCCTTAATATTTTTACCTTAAAATTAAATTTAAATCTCTAAATTCTTTTTAGATTTGTATTATGTACTTTAAAGTTTTAATTTTTTTAATTTTTTTATTAATTTGTCGAAATGAGATTTGAAAGAAAAAACCATGATCAATATTAATATTTTTAATATTTTATTTTGGAAATAAAATTTAATATATACATATATATATATATTCAAAAAATTATCCTTATAAGTAACTTCAAATTACTATTTTTTGTGTATGGATTGTGTGTATTATGAACATTTTAAATTTTATGTATTTTCTATGTGATTTAAAAAAAAACAAAATATGAACAAAGTATCCGGATTTAACAGACCGAGTCACGGGCCAAAAAATATACTACCCGGAGAATTGGATACCCAGTATTCTGAGTACCCGAATTTGAACCCGTATTTTTCAGATCTAGAAAAACAAATAAGTTTTTTTTAAAAATAAACTCATTAAAATTTCAAATAGTGAAATTAAATTTATATTTTATTTAAATAAACATATAATATATATATATATATATATATATATTGAAATTTTAAAATAATTTTAAAAAAAAAATTTATATAAATATTTGAATTTTCAACACAAACATTCGTATTCAACAATTAAATTTAATATATTTGAAGTGTTGGGTCTCATTGTAAATTCCTTAAGAAATATCGTTCGAACATGAGAATGTAATTCTTTTAATTCTATGTACCAAATTAATAATGAATATAAATGTAAAAATATCAAGATATTGATGACGAGCTTGACTTGTGATAAGATCAACTAATAATACTTTCATATATTTTATAATTATAAATATATTTTTTATAATCTAAGAAAAAAATACTCACTCTCTTTCATAAAAAATATCTCTTATTAATTTTTTAAAGGTCAAAATTTTTAAACATTGAGTATGATTATTTTAAATATTTAAATTTTATAAAATATATATTTGTAAACTACTTGGTTGAAGGTTTCTAAAATATATTTTTACATATTTTTATCAATAATAAATTCTGAATCATAATTAGTCAAAGCTTAAAAAATTAACCAAAAAAATCAACGATAGACATTTTTTTATGGGAAAGAAATAGTATTATTATTCTATAATATTTGGATCATTGTATCAAAAGACAATAATGCTATTCACCGCTACAATCCAATGTATATATGATTTTTTAAAAAATAAATTCAGAGTCAATATAAGGTATTAAATATTTTAATATTTTTAATATTTTGATAATAAACACTCATATTCTTGTATACGTAGTACTCGAACTTAAAATCTCAAAAAATAACAACAAATACTTCAACTATTAAAATTACTTGGTCAGTGCACATATGAATCATTCATATTAAGGTTATGGATAAAATATTTATAATTTATACTTGATTATTTGAATTATAAAATTTACATAATTTAAAAATCTTTTAAAATTAAAACTTGATTATAAAATACTTTTTTAAAAAAATTATTTAATTAACAATGATTCGAGCTTTTGTAAAAGGCTGAAAAAGCAAAGAAAATAAAAGTCTCGGACCGTGGACCGACCTAATTCGACTGTGACCGGCCCTACTTCCCAGTGCAAGACATTGGGCCACCTGTTGCTTCTCCTATTGGGCTAAATCATTATATACGCCAACTCAAAACCCAAACATGCATCATCCGCTTCCATTTTTTTTAGAAATATACATTTGAGTATTTACATTTGATTTTAAATTTAATTTATTATTTACATTTGAGTATTTACATTCGATTTAAATCAAAAAGGAAAGTTTAAAAACTGACTTGAATAAAAAGAGTTCATGTATGAAATTGAACATTAAAGTAAAGTTTGGGTACTGAAATATATATTTACCACTTTTAATGGAGTAGAAAAATTGTTCAAATATAAATATAAAATCGCGTCGCAGCAGCACCAGAAATCCGAATCGGGATACCGGTGTCTGAGCTTTCGGAGAATCCAGATTTTCATTTTTGACTTTTCTTTCGGCTATTATCAAGGATGGTACGTAACTCGCCTTTCATACTTTGATCTTGTTATTAAGATTGATCGGTGATTTTGTTATGTGATCTGTTTTCGATCTTTCTTTAATGCAAAGCATGGATCTGTATTTTTCTTGCTCATAGACGCTGTTTAAGCTTTTGATTCTGTGAATCATGATTTTTATTACTATTTTATGATCATATTTCTCGAATTTAAGCTTTGCCCTTGTCGTTTCTCTTCGGATCTGCTACTTGATTGTGCAGAAATTTTGTTTTGTGTTTTTGATATTGTTTGTTCACTGTAAATATTCCATTTTGACAGTTGTAGTTCACTGTAATTGATTCATTTTGATAGTTTTTCTAATTTATTGTTAGATCCGGCTTATTTCATCTTTTTTTTTTTAAATCGTATTCCATCGTACTTAAACATTTCTGTTTAATGTTTGCCTTTGAATTTTGGAATATTCGAGTTTGACGACAAAATTCTGGTGATATCTATAATTTTTCTGTTTGATAAAACCTTATTGTTTTAATGGTTTCACTTTTCAGTGAGACGTTTCTCCCTGGGTGGAAACTGTAAGGTTATTATTGATATGAAGGAAACGACATTCTTTATACTTTAGCTGTTGAATTTTTTTTATCATGAAGAAGCATGCTAAGAGGATGGCCAAAGCCTCATGTTACTAGTCGACTGATGTAACTACAAATTCACATAGATCGCATTATGTGTTTGAATTTATGACTTATTGAGGATCGGCTTTGGTTCTCATAGTGCGAGCAAAAATGGTTTTATGTTAGTTTTGGGATCTGATTATCACAGTGATATATATGGTCACACATATGTTGTTCTAGTTTTACTCAGTTATCATTGTTTATTTTCACTTTAGAAACCTAAAATGAAGATTCATTTTTTCGGTTGTTGACTTGTTATATTGCTAGTATCTGTAACCTATAATAAGCCTCTTTTGTGTTTCAGATTCACTTTGTACTTTTAATTAGCCGACAAGGGAAAGTTAGGTTGACAAAATGGTATTCTCCTTATTCTCAGAAGGAGAGAACAAAGGTATGACTAGCACATTTTATTAATTGCATTGATTAGATTTTTGAAGTTTGCACTTCAAGGAAAATTACTTTATAATTATAAGATTCTGGTGCATTTTTCTTTATCTTTAGTACTTTGTTGATGCTCTTTCTGAAGTCGGTCTTGTCTTCGTTATATTAATGCTTTATGAAATGCATTTTGAGAAGGTTATCCGTGAGCTCAGTGGAGTGATTCTCTCAAGAGGGCCCAAACTCTGTAATTTTGTGGATTGGAGAGGGTTTAAAGTTGTTTACAAAAGGTGATACTACTATCTGTTAGTGAGTCTACTTTTATGAGGAATCTAATTTACCATTTCAGAGATTTATCAACCGAGTTTGGATAAATTATGCAGATATGCTAGTCTTTACTTCTGCATGTGCATTGACCAGGATGACAATGAATTAGAGGTTCTAGAAATCATTCATCATTTTGTTGAGATACTTGATCGATACTTTGGCAGTGTGAGTAAACTTAAACAAGACTTTTCATTGAATTATTAACATTCCAGTATGTTTTCTATGATTGTGAATTAATTTATATCCAGGTCTGTGAATTGGACTTGATCTTCAACTTCCATAAGGTACAATTATTATGCTTGTCATGTACCTGTTGTTAGGTCTCTTCCTCTTCTTTTCAGAGCAGTTTAAATCTAAATCCTTGTGTTTTATGTAAATTATGCTCTCGTCATGTACTCTTTAGCAACAGTTATCCTCCTACTCCAGAACCACTCCATTCTTCTCATTCTTTAACATACCATCCATATCCTCCATTTGTATTTAGTTAAAGCATAAACTCTAAATCTCCATACTCCCATACCAGTGTGTCTCTTGATTTTATCCAGTCTCAACTCAACTATCCTAAAGAAGCACAAAGCATTCATCTTTTGAATTGATTCCAGTCAATTGAGGGTTTGTAGACCGTTTTCTTCATGTATGGAACCATAATTTTTCCTACATTCCAGATAAATACCCCCCGAAATTGTTATCCTTATGGTGGCATGTTAACCATGTTGTTGAGGAAAGGCATTTCAACCCCCCTCATATTTTCGTAAAAATTGTAGTACTTCTGAGATTATGAAATCTTTCTTCTTCATGATTCAGAGAACAAGCATTTACATGAGAGTTCTTTTAGAACAAAAGTTGTTCATGTTAGCAAAGTATTGCTTCCATTTTTAGAACAAAATGTGGTTTCTGAAAATAGGAGGGTAAATAGCATTATTAAGGATTATAGATCATTGATGTTAATAGAGTCTTTGAATAACACTTTGCTTCCATTTGACATTGAAGGCCTACTATCTATTGGATGAACTCTTGCTTGCCGGCGAACTTCAAGAGTCAAGCAAGAAAACTGTTGCACGTTTAATAGCTGCGCAGGTAGAAACTTTACCTTCCGTCGTTAAAACATCTTGTATGTCGGGTGTCGTAATTTCCGATTTTCTGAGACAACTTCTTCGTTGAACCATAGGATTCACTGGTGGAGACGGCAAAAGAGCAGGCGAGTTCCATTAGCAACATAATTGCACAGGCCACAAAGTAGTCTATGACCGGATTGTCATTTGTCGTTCGGGTTGATTTTTGTGTATCATCTGTTTCATCTTGGAGAACTTAATTTCATGTTTATGATTGTAGATTTGGGACTGGATTTTGGGGTAGAATTGATCACACATAATCATATATCAAGTATGTATACGGTCTTGCATTTGAGCTTCAAGCGTTCATTTGTTGGCTCGCATATAACTATATCATGCGTGCTTTTTTAAATAATTTTTTTAAAATTTTAAAAACAAAATATATTTTCTAATAAAAAATAATTTAAAAATCTCAAATCTCACAAACTTAATGCTTAAAACACTTAAAATTCGCTTGAATCTTAAAATCTAAAAATGAGTTTGGGTTTAAGATTGAAGTTTTAAATAGAAAAGTATCGAATTAAAGCAAATTCGCTGGTTGATGAATCAATAGAAAAGTTTCTTCAAGGACAAATTCATAGATTTGTTTGAGTAGTTAAATTTTTTTTCACTTAATTACAAAATAAAAACGTTTGAGTAAAGGGTATCTTGGCTACCGATTCTTTTGGATTTCTGGTGCAAGTTTTTTCTATTGTTTTCTTCTTAGTATGCGGTTCCACAGGATTTCTTGGGTGTTTGCTTTCCCAATGTTTTGTTTCTTTGTTCGTGTATGTGGCATTATGTTGGTTTTCGGAGCAGTTAAGAGGGGTTCGTTTTTCATTCGTTTAATTTGGATATTCTTCAAGTTTTTTTTTTCTATGTTTGGTGTTTACGGATGTTGTAGTGATTCATCTTTGTATGTCGTTGTCTCCATTGTTCATGCTCTTGCTCATTAAGATGTCATTGATCGCTTATCGTTATATTTTGTTTGTGATAATCATGAATGTATTAATTCAATATGTATATAACAAGACGTTATTGTTGATGTTTTATTTGATTAATGAATATATCACCGTCCTACTAAAAAAAAAGACATTCGAGTAACATAAAGATAGAAGAAAACAGTAAAAAGAGTGGAATATTATGATTTTTATTCAAAACAAAAAACAAATGAAATATTATCTAGCAATAAAATTAAAAATATATATTAAAGATTCAATAAAAATAAACAAATGAATAAATCTAGACAAATCAATTAAGAGAAATCAGTTAAGCTAGTCTATTAATATTTTTATTTTTAATACTTTATTGTTTCTAAACATTTAATAATTTTTTTTGAAAGATAGATAATGATATTATTATTGACGTGACATAATTTTATGATTATCATTACTAAAAAGTTAACACAATTATTAAGTGTTAAAACAATGGATAAAATTAAAGTTTGAGTACCAACTTGAGAGAATGTGTCAATTGAGGTACCAACTTGAAAGTATAAATTCTTTAAGTACCAATTTAAGACAGTTTCTAGTTTAGATATCAAATATATATTTAAGCATTTATTTATTTATTTCTTTTAAATTAAATATAGAAATAAAAATTATAATTTAACCATTTTTACTATAGACAAAGAGATCAAATTATTAAAATTATTCATTTTCATATAAAAAGTTTTAATATCGCATCTTATAATTGTATTTATGTTTTCGAATGAATAAAACTTGATAATTGGATGACAGACCTCTCCATTATCAAGAACACGCTGAGAATGCCAGCTCTGCATAGCACGAGCAGCAGCAGCCCTCTTTGTCCTACCGGATCCAGGAGCTTGAGTACTATCAGGAGGCTACACAAAATTTATAGAAGTCATTGGATAATATATTTAACTTACTATTGGAAACGAGGAGTTACCATGTTCATGCTTACTATGCAAATGCTTTGGTAAATTATTTAATGTGGACAACGTGGTAAATCCGATTTCACTCATATCAGTATATCACAGAGAGTTCATTAAGGTTAACGACCCCCAGCACTTAACATGAACTTCATAACTGGACTTATCTATCATATCCTTTCACAAGGCAATCCATCCGTCAAAACATCTAACATGCCGGCACAATTTTTGTGTATGCCATCAATATAGCATTTTTAAAACCGCATGCACCTCAGCATGCACGTAGTCCTATCAATTGAAGAAAACTTGTGCATATGCAAAAGTCAAAATCTCATTTCTTCATCGTACAAAAGAGGTAAAAACTACGTGAAAGGAAAATTTGGTAAATATAAAATATGGATACGACAAACAGCGTTCATGTTAACAAGTAACATTGAAACAAATATGCCATGCCAAGCGGATCGGAAAGCATTATAATAATATAATTATTGGATTTTACCGGACTAACAACCGTGATAGGCTCTATGAGGGAAGGAACAGAATGAGGGAGTACAGCGCCATGCAATTTATGCTTTTCATACTCAAGCAGTGCCTGCACAAATTGGTGGAACCAAATCATAGGAGAACCACAAGCCAAAATAGAAAATAAAGATAATTTATATTAGAGACGACGGACGAAGGGATGTGACCTTAATTCAAAGAACATCTTTGTTACTATAATCAATGGAAATATGTTGTTAGAACCCAACCTTCTCATAAAAGTTACGGAATGTCCAAGACACAGTAGTACAGGTCCTATGCGCAACAATAAGTAAATAAAAGGTTAGCCATAATTGTGGTATAAGGACATGAGGGTGCTTCATTAACAAAATCTATTCATAAAAACAGGAAACCGAGTTAGCAAATATAAAATTTTAATCCCATAGATTTTCCCACACAATATAAAATGTCATACGAAATCAAAATTCACCAACAATTGAACAAGCAGTTTTAATAGTATAAAAGTGTAGGCTTTTCATTACTCAAGTCAAGCAAATCGCTAGCTCATCAACAAGACGTTACAGGTTATTCTTACTTTGGGGGATTAAACGATTCTCCCACCTGCCTCCACAATTTGCATGAGGTCACCTACAAAGTCCATGGCGCAATTAGGAAAGGAAGTCCATAACTACTTCATATTCTTACTAAATAAACGTTAAAACGGAATTAACGGCCTCTTTCATGTTCGGTAAAACCCAACTAACTACAACGAAATAATGTCACAGACAACAATGATTTTGCATATGCAGATGCTGTACACACAGGCATCTCCTTCAAATGATTGATATGCCATTCGATTTTAGTTTTACACTTTCAATTTAATGTACAAGCAAACCTGTTCATAGCCTCCCAATTTGATGACAGCTCTCCATAACCTTTAATCATATCAAAAAGGGAAGAACAGTTAACACAAAGACTTCAATTTTATCAAGGAAAATGATGAACATGCATACTTGAAAAAGGCTTACTTGAGCAAATTCAAATCCTCCTTGTAAAACTTAGGGTGTTTGAATTCAAGGTTATTCTCCTTGTAAAATGCTTCAACCTCTTTCACGAAAGCCACTTGCTCCTCCTCCAAGTCGGACCCGTCGTTGTCGAAGCACATGTTAGGGTTTTTGTCATCGAGTTCTCTCGATGTGGTCTGCTCCTGATTGTCAACTCCATCGGCATCACCTTCGGGCTTTACTTTTATTTCAGCAGTGGGGATTCCACAGAGTTCATTGTCATGTTCAATTTCATCCGTTCTGGTAATAGTTTCGGCCACAGATTTGTCCTCAACATCCTTAAATTTACCATCTTCATCATCCCCAGAATTTAAAAGCTCCTCATTTTGAACATCAGCGGCAACAACAACAACATTGTGAGCTTTGTCATGGTCCTCACGACCGTGGGTTTGGTCAGAAACAGCTTGTCCTTCAACGGAATCCGGGTTGTCGCAGACCGGCTGAGCCATCAATTTCCCATCTTCTTCAACCTGAACATGGTCTTTCACTTCAGAAGCTTCTTTTTCAGTGTCCATTGGAGATAAACAGTCAGCTTCGGCTACAACAACACCCTCATTTCCTTCCAAGACTGGCTTGGAATCATCCATCTGAGCCTCACTACCACTACCGACCATCTTCTCTTGTTCCTAATTTTTTTAAGAAAAAAGACATAAAACCAAACTCTTTTCAATTAAATTCACAAAACATAACAAAACATATCACAAGAAACAAGTCTCCTCATACTCACAGACATCACTTGCTTTCTGGATTATCAACAAAATGAACAACTTTTTTAAGAAAAGAAAGGGGTTTGACTCTTTTAAGCCCCTGCACTAAAAATACATGGAAAAAAGAGGGAAAAGAAGCGGATGAGACAAAATCCTGGAGAGGGTACGGCATTAATGTACCTAACAAAACAAAAAGAAACTTACTTTGACGACATTTTAACGATCGTGACAGATTATACACCTAAAAAGATAACATCAAAAACGTTAGACACCTACTTCAAACCAAAAATATTTCTATGCACCTAAAATGAGTAAAATTTATAGTCATTGACGAACACAAGATTTTATGATAGGGAGTAAAAACATATTATCAATAGAAAATACTCAAAAAAATTAAAATAAAGGAAAATTTAAAAATTCCAGGGGCGAATGCCCCAGCGCCCCTCAATCCATCTCTTAATATAGTTTGAACACTTGTTTTTGTCATTAAGTCTTTTCTCTTACATATTTAGGGATAATTATTATAGCACTGTTCTTTATATATATTTTCCAATAAATATCACTTTTGTCGAATAAAAATATTTTTTATATTTATATTGAATCATATCGAATATAAATTTTTACATTAAAATTTGGATCGATTTTAAGATCAAATAAAACTTGTCTCAACTCAAGAAAAAAAAATGAAAGAGCATATTTCTTGTGTTAGGTCAGGTTTGATTGAAAACTCAACCTGATTTAACTTGATTAGTTATCTCTGCATATATTTATGAGCCTTTGACTCTTGATATATGATGATGTTGGGTTTTGTTTAAATTTTATAGTGTATTTTTAAAAATAAATATTTAAAATATATTATAAATATTAAATTATTTTTTAAAAAGTAAATATTTAGAATTATCATTTTTTAAGAAGAATATAGATGTTGTAATTAGAGAGAGTATAAGGAACAATAACTTTGTTTAAAGTTAAAAAACGGCAGAAATAGATATAATCGAATATGTGATAAAAAAACATAATATTTTAGGTTGAATGTAACATAAAATGTTATGTTTTTAACATTTTCAGTTGAATCTAAAATGTTAACTTCTTCATAATATTTTTTGTTGATAACAAAAAAATATATTTTTTTTTTAATATTTTAAATTCAACCTAAAATATTAAAAAATAATATTTTAAGTTATATAACCAAAAATATTATATTTTATTCTATTTTCAATTACATCCGAAATCGTTAAGATCTGTCAGAAAACCAAGATTCGGCCACCGCCCATTCAATTTGATAGCCTTCCAAACCCGATCTTATTGATTCACAAATCTAGGTATCCGCACGACTGACCGAAAGTTTCGGCCTTGGAGAGAGCTTGTTGCTGAAAAATGTTCAACTTTCTTGAATATTCTAATGATAATTAACTTAACACATGGTTTAAATATAATAAAATTAAATTTTTTATTCAATTTAATAGGAAATTTCATTTTTATTATTAATGAAACTTAAAAATTATCAATTTTCATTGTCATATTTTCCATTAAATATTTCTTGCTCAAAGATGAATCAATTTGACTTTGAATTTCGAAATTAGTCATGCAATTTTTAAAAATTGCATTTTAGTCACTAAAATTCCACTGTTTCGGTCAAATCAGAAAAATTGCACAGTTCTGAGCCAAATTTCTCTGATCTAAAATATTAAAATAATATTTCCAACCATTTTCTAACATCCTTCAAATTTTCGTAAAATTCCGATTCGATCCGAATATTCGATTTCAATACTGAACTTTCCTGCTTTATAGCTTTTAACACAATTCTCGTACCAAAAATCTGATTTCCACTAAAATCTTTGTTTTAATCCAAATTATTCAGGCTAAAATATATAACTTTTAAAAAATACAATTCCAGTCCCTAAACATTTCAAAGTTTATACTTTAGCCACTAAACTTTCAAAACTTACATTTTAGTCACTAGACAAAATTTGGGGTATTACATTGCAGTGACCCACCCTGAGGTATGATCCGAATTATTTAAGGTCCGGGTAAAATGTTAAAAACAATCCCCTAACTCATAATTTTATGCAATTTTAATATTTCTGATTTTATTTATTATTCCAACACTTTAATTTTTAGTATTTTATTTTTCCGCCCCTTTAATTTCTAATATTTTATTTTAGTCCTTTTATTTTCCAGTACATAATTTTCTGTATTTTCATTCATGCATCTAGCTTTGCATTCCTTTTATTATGGTCACCAATGTTACTTGTGGTTTATTTATTTCCAGTACCTATACTTTTCATTATTTATGTTCTAGCCTTATTTATTGTTTGTCATATTTGTACGGTGTTTTAATCTTGGCTGTTAATTTTTAAAATATTCATGTTAGTCCCTTGTTTATGTTAGTAGAGAATCGATGCTTGATTTATATTTTAGACTTAAAATCGAACTTGATTGCCTTATTACTACCTCTGGTTAGAAATAGGAACCTATGTAGACTTATTGCATGCTTGGAACTTAATGTATTTGTTTATGATTCGACTAGATCCTTAATTAACGTTTATTGACTTAGTTTCTTAATCACTATGTTTTTAGGTTGCTCAATATGGTCACCACCCCTTTTATGTTACACATATTATTATTCGAACTTTATTTTATTGTAAATCATCATATTTCTCTTTTTTAGATAAATTTTGTTGTAAGGGAAATCTATGAAGACATCTTCCAACTATAAGGGAAGTGTGTCTTCGAAGATTTTTCTCAAAAAAGTACATTTTTATATCCGATTGGTTTTTTACTTTACCATGTTTTTATTTTATTTTTTATTTTTTATTTATTACTATTATTTTATTTTATTTTTCATTTTTAATATTAAAAACTATAAGGCAATGTCTTTTGCGAGGGGAATTCATGAAAAAGTCTCCTAACTATAAATGAAGTGCATTTTCGAGGATTGTTCATACAAAAGGCATTCTCTTATCCGAGCATTTCTTGAAAATTAATACAACACTACACTCTTTTAAAATATATTATCAAAAAAAAATAAAGAAACACCGTTTTGTGAGGGGAATCCATGAAAAAATCTCTCAACTATAAGGAAGTGCGTTTTCAAAGATTGTTTGTACAAAATAAAGTAATTTCTCTTTTTAAAAAAATATAATTTTTAGGGTAAATAAATAGTTTTTCTTACATTAGACATTAATTATTCATTAAAAATATATTTTGTACTCCTTAATTTTTGTACCCACTGCATTTATTATTTGTCATCATATCATTATATATATATAGGGATGGGTATGAGACCCGAACCCGACGGGTTACGACCTGACCCGATCCGATCGGTCGATTTTTTTTAAATTGGGTTCGGGTCGAGTAAGGTCAGTTTTTTTTAATGTGATGTTCGGGTCGGGTCTAGTTCAGGTTTAGGGTGAAAAGTACCCGACCCGAAAAAAATATAATTTTACCTTACATATTTAAGAATAATTACAATAATATCCCTCTATATATTATTTTTTCCAATTAAGTCAGTGTTTTTATTGAATATAAATAATTTTTTTTATTATTTCGGGTCGGGTCGGGTTTTTAAGTTATATCTCGGGTCGTGTTCAGGTCGGGTGAAAACTTGTTTTGGTCGGGTCGGATCAGGTCTCGGGTGGAGGACTCCTTGTTCTCGGGTCGGGACGGATAGACCAAAAAACATATATATATATTTCAAAGGCAATGTTGTTTTGGTTTGGAAGAATTGACAAGTTAGTATCTTAACTTTAAAGGATGACAATCTTTGATGATTTTCTTGAATCAAAAGGACATCATTTTGAACAAATTCGAGTGAATCAATTTTCCTTTCTTAACCAAAAATCATTTTAGTGAAATCCACTCATTTCAAAATAAATTCGAATGAATGAAAGGATCACAATTTAAATATATTCGAGTTTGTAATTCCATTGTTTATACAACATATAATCGTTTGGGTATCAAGTCTGGGCACTGTGAGATGCTTTTACTTCTCCATGCGTAATCGACTCCTGAATTCTTGAAAAATTATTCTTGGTAAAACGCAGACCATTTTTATCTTTTAATGATTTTTTTATGTAAAATTCATTAAAAAAATATTTTTAGGTATTCAACCTACCTAATCTAAAGGTTGATGGTGACTCAAAAATCAAATTGTTTTCAAACCTAAATTTCACCATCTTTTCTCAAACTAAAATTTTCAAGTCTAACCGATTCCCACTCGTCGTTGGGCTGTTAGGGGAAACTTTATGACATAAGTTATATAAGTTAAAACCGGCCATCAGCATTGGTCATCATCGTCAATCAACTTAACTCACCGAAAAACCAACTGTTACAACATCCAGGGTTTTCGTTTGTCGTTGCCCAACAGTCAGCCGTCTCAAAGGAGAAGCTCTTCATTTTGCTTCAACCGTCGTTTGTTTATTTTTTTACGCACGGTGACCTTCAAAGAATCATCCCCAACCATTGTCCATCCCAACCACACCAATCACGACTGTTGGTTCTCGTTCATCCGCAACCGCCACCGCGTATAAGTCCATCACACTTAACTCTTCGATCGTCTTTTCATTAGTTTTTTTAATGGTAAAAATACATTCCAACCCCCTTATTTGTGTTTTATTTAAATTAAATTCGTGAAAACCCCCAATAGTTTCTCCAATTTATATTTTAGACTAATCATATATTTCTATTTTAAAAGACATGACTAAATTACATTAACACCCCCACCTACTTCTGTTTTAATTTAATGATCAAATTGTATGCAAACTCCCACACTTTTCCCTATTTAAATTTCAGACTTCTAGGTTTTAAATCTTCTATAATTTTTACTTTATTTTTATTTGATAATTAATTTGAATTTACTCTTTGATTTTAATTAACAGTAATATTAATACTTTATTTTATTCATTAATTTTTATTAGCATTAGTTTCATATCATTTGATATTAATTTTTATCATTAATCTTAACAATTTGATACTTAATTTTACTTGATATTAATTGTGATTATTTGAATCATCATAATATTAATTTTGATACGCAAATTTTAATATTGATCCTTAATTTAAATTTTGATGCTTATTTTTAATTTGATATTTATTTTTATCATTGCTTTTGATTTAGTATTGATTTTTCTCAAATAAATTTTAACTTGGATTTTATAACAAAAACATACGTTAATCTAAAATATAAATGGAAGAACCTATTGTGGGGTTTCATGCAATTTAACCATTTGAAATAAAACAAAAATAAGGGGGTTGGAATGTAATTTTACCATTAAAAAAATAACCTAATAGTGCAAATGGAAAAGATGAGGAGAGAGTTAAGCGCGATGGACTTACATGTAACGGTTGTTGCGGACGAACGAGAACCAGCAGTCGTGTTTGGTCTTGTTGGGATGGGCGACGGTTGGGGATGATTCTTCGAAGGTCACCTTGCGTAAAAAATAAAATAAAAAACAAACGGACGATGCAAATGGCAAAGTTTCTCCTTCAAGACGACCGAATGCTGGGTGATGACAAACGAAAGCGCTGGATGTTGTAGCAGTTGATTTTCTGACGAGTTAAGGTGGTCACCGACGATGACTAATGTTGATAGCCGATTCTAACTTATATAACTTAAAAATCGTAATTCTAAACAAATTAAATTACCTAAATTAATTTAATTTGTTTAGAATTACGATTTTAAACTATATAAATTAAAATTATAATTAATTTTAATAAATTATTACTTTTAAATAAATCCTTATACTTTTTAATATTTACAAAATAAAGACAAATTTGTTTGTAGTATATTTCAATACGTCGTTTTAGTGGTACGTTTCGATATGCAACATGCTGTGTAGAATTTTCCTACCCACACACACACACATATATATATATATATATATATATATATAAATGCGTAAGCTTAATTATTAATTTATAAGTTTGTTTATGACTTTGACTTTGTAATAGATTTTTTATGGCTGATAATAAATACTAATTCAAAAAGACTAGAAGGTAATATATTTTGACGAGCATGGTTTTAACTTCTATCATATAAAATAATAACTGTTGGTAAGATCACAAGATGCATTACTTCAAGATGCATTACTGCAAGATGAAAATACTAGTAACGAGTAAAAAAATCAGTAAATGAAATGTAAAAAATAAATTAAATTTAATGTGTCATAATAATAAGTTTTTTTTTTAATTTGGTTACAATAACATGTTCTTTGAGTGTTCATTTGCGAGGGAAATCTGGAGGGTTGTCCTCAAGCTATGCAATGTCCATCGTGAGGTGAGGGACTGGGATGGTAAGGTTGGCTGGGCTGTGTCAATTTTAAAGGGCAAGTCCTTACTTGTTTACATTCTTAAGGTAGTTTGGTGTGCTTACATTTACTACGTATGGGAGGAGAGCAATTTCAGGCTGTTTCGGGAGACAACTAAAGGTATAGATAATACAATTGATAGTATTAAAGATGTTGTTAGGATTAAAATGTATAGAAGGTTAACCAGAAGTGATCCTATTGATTTGATTCTTTGCACAACTTGGGCATACAAAATTGAGCCCCAGTTCATTGGTTGTTTTGTAGTATCAGGTTATGCTGCTTCTTGGGTAATATACAAAGGGATTTATCAAAAAAAAATTATCATACTCAATAATCATGAAATAGATATCATTCTCAAAATTAATATTATAAAATCATAGTCATTTTCAAAATTAATATAATATTTTTATATTCATACATTTAATTAATGTCTTCTTGAACTCATCAAGTGACTTCAGTGGTAAGAGAGTGTTGTTTATCCTAGAGATTCTGGATTTAAACAGCTGTATCTGCGTGTGTGTATAATGTCAATAGTTAAAAAAATTAAACTGAAGGATAATAAACAATTATATCAGGAAATAGAGTAGAGAAAACTTACATATTAATTTCCACTGAGAAATCATTTAGGCAGAATATGATCTTCCAAGAAATAGTAGCAACATTTGCAGATTTCTCCTATATGATAGAACCATGCTCGTCTCCAGTAAGGATTAATGTAAAGCACACTCGCAATACTCAGTATCACCACAACATAAGATGCAACGAAAGACGCATAGAAGGCGGTCATATCGATCAAGTCGTTGTCGGTTGACCCCTTCGGCAATGACGATGGTGGTGGTTCGGATGTTGAGCAGTTCTTCGGCAATGGTTTACCGCAGAGAAGAGGATTTCCAACGTAGCTGCTTTCCTCAAATGTTGAAAATTGTGCGGTCATTTCTGGTGTACTTCCGGACAAATTATTGTACGCTACACTGAAACAAGACAAGGTGTATAACCCCACAAGTTGTGGAGGTATTGTACCACTCAAGTTGTTATGGGAAAGATCCAGACTCTCGATTTTCTTCAGATCGGAAAATGTCGGTGGGATTGATCCTATCAAATGGTTGTGAGACAGATTCAAAGCATAGATATTCTGAAAGTTCTCCACTTGGTGGGGAATCTCACCTGTCAACTTGTTGCAAGAGAGATCGATGCCAGACAAGATTCTAAGGAGTCTTCTCTTGTAAGAGTATGAATTGTTTTTCGATGTGAACTGTATCGGACTATCGATGGAGAACGAGCTTGGAGCTTCCGCAACAGCAGAGACGTAATGAATAAATTCTTGAGATACTTCAGCAAGTGTTGTAATCATCAAGCAAGGTGGGATAGTTCCTGAAAGATTATTATTGGAAAGATCAATCAAGCTTAATCGATCCAAATTGCATAACAGAAGTGGAATCCTTCCTTCAAAATGGTTGTTGTTTAAAAGAAGATAGCTCAGCTGAGAAAGGTTGCCAATCCAATTCGGAATTTTTCCAGTCAAGTGGTTGTTGCTGAGATCTAATGTCACCAAGATGCTGCTGTTGCGGAAAACATTTGTGAGTGGCCCTTGTAGCTTGTTTCTTGATAAATGAACTTCACTGATCCAGAATGGACTGAAGCATGATGGAACATGCCCAGAAATATTGTTCATCGAAAGGTCTAAAAGTTTAAGATGAAGATTAAGATTGCAAAACTCCACCGGGAATGGACCTTCAAGATGATTTTGCGCCATCACAATATCTTCCAAATTTGACATATTCCCCATCCACCTTGGTATCTCACCAGAAATATCATTATTGCTTAAATCCAAGGTTGTCAACCCTGACAAATTCTCCATCCAATTTGGAATCTCCCCAGAAAGCTGGTTATTGCTTAAATCCAATACAGACAACGAAGAGCAATTAGACAAAGAATCTGGGATTTTTCCTGAGAAATAATTCCCATCCAAATGCAACTCAAACAATTCTGTGAGGTTAAACTTTGAAGAGAACAACTGCCCTTGCAATCTGTTGTTTGACAGTGCAAGGGACCATAATGAAGAGCATCCCAGGGTCAAACGCTCAGGCAGTCCACCGGACAAATGATTGTCTGACAAGTCCAAGTCTTGCAGGTATTCATATCACCAATCGAAGCAGGAATGGTACCGTGAAAATGGTTTTTAGACATGTTCAAAAACCTCAATGATGGTATTTTTGCCCCGATTTCAATTGGAATTTTGCTATAGAGGAAATTTTTTGAAACATCCAACCTTAGTAATCTTGTATGTGGAAGGAAAGATAACTTAAAAAGTCCGATGAGAGAGCTGTTGGCAAGAAATAAAGTTTTTAAATTTCTGTTGTTTTGCAACAACCAATTTGGAAATTCCCCTGTTAAGTTGACATTGGAGAGATCAACATACTGCAAGTCATACTGGTGGTAGAGGAATGCAGGAAATTGTCCAACATCTCCACAACAAGATAAGCTGATCCGATTCAATTGGAATCTTGGGACCAAGGACTGCATCTCGCTCTCAACATACATGAGATTGTTGTCCGCATAAAAAAACTTGAGCTTTGAAAGGTTGAAGAAAGGTTCCAACGAGATCGGGACTCGAAAGTAATTATCTGAAAGCCTCAACATTACAAGGGATGTTAAACTCTTAAGGGCAGATACTTTTCCATATAACTGATTTGAAGACAGATCCAAACTTTCGAGAGATGTGAAGTTGGAAATACACTCGGGCAAATTACCCGTTAAATTATTGTAGGCTATATCCAATTCTCGAACATTCATCAAATCACAAAAACCTGTACATGAAATATAATATAAAAATTAAATAAATAAATTACTTAACATATTTTCTAGGGTTAATTATACAATATACAACTGATCTTTAATAGGTGTATCATTTATACTATTAAACTTCGGTTTTAACTTCAATTATATCACTGTGCCATTAAATTTTAAGACACGATGATGTGGATAGATATTTATGTCACTGTGATGACATAAACAAAACGACATCGTTTGGGCGACGATTATTGATGCCTAAAATGACATCGTTTTAGACACTAAACTTTAAGGGTGTATCAATTTTGTTACAAAACTTTTGAATAGTTAACTTTTTGCCATTACACTTTTTCCGTCACCATCGACAGCCAATCATCATTTATCATCAATCGTCTTTTACGGCAAGATCAGTACCAAAATATTTGCATTTCACTCCTCTTTCTTCTCATAGGATTGTTTTTTCAAGAAACTCACTCAAAATCGATGAAAATTCATTTAAAAGTTCAACGTGCTAATACATGATCTCTTCTAATGACTGTCCAATAAGGATAGTTTTGAATTATTGTTCATCTTCTCGAAAAAATACTTCTCACCATTTGGATTTTCAAACAAACATCTCAAATCACTCAAATCTAATAAATCCCCCCAAATTCATAAAAATAGTAAATTGTTTTTTGTTTAATTTCATCGATTTTGAGTGAGTCATGTGGAAAACTAATTCTAGAAGAAGAAAGAGGAATGAAATACTAACACTTTGGTACAGATCTTGCCATGAAAGATGACAGATGACGGTTAGTGATTGCTTGTCGGCCACGCCTAGGAATGTATAATGACAAAAAAGTGAAATGTTTAAAAGTTTAGTGACAAAATCAATATACCTAAAGCTCAGTGCCTAAAGCGAAACAACATCGTTTGAGGCATCAATAACCACATCAAAACGATTTCGTTTTGTCAATGTCATCACATAGTTAGAATTTTAACGGCCCAATGATATAATTGAAATCAAAACTAATGTCTAATACTATAAATTGAATAAATTAAAAGTTGAGTGATATTTAGTATAATTTAACCTTTTTCTATTTGGAAGTAAATTTTTGGATATTAAAAGACAATTTTACCTTGGACATGTAAGGTGCCATTGAGTCCACAACCCCATATGCTTAGAAACTTGAGAGAAGGCATTGCACCAATTTTTTCAAGAAAGTTATTTGCAAGAGGAGTCTCTGATATGTCTAAAGACTCCAAATTCTTCAATTGAAATGCTGAAAGATATCAAATTGATGATATGTTATTGAAAATTTTAGGAAATAAAATTATTTTTACGAGAAAGAAATGGAAGTAAAAGTACATTTCTTTCTACTCTTTTTTTTATATATAGAGTTAAAGGTTCAAATTACCTTGTAGAGTGAAGTTTTGGCTGATCTCACACTCAAACAACTCCAAATGCTTCAAAGAAGAAAATTCTCTTGGACTTCCAACAGAACCTTTCAAGACCAACTCTTCTAAGTTTGTAAAATTATATATATAATAAATTAAAGCAATGTTGAATATCATAACTTACTGTTTGGAAAATCGGATGTCACCATCGTATCATTAAAACTAAAACCTCCCAAAGAAAGAGTCTTTAACGATGGAAATGAGACGAATGATTGTAGCAGAAGGCTACAACCTACACGAAATGATACGTTTTTTAATTACTTTATTTCTTTAGAAAATTCCAATTACATTTTAAAAACAATATTTCAAATTATTAAACTAACAAATTTAAATTTATGTTAATTTATAAATCCATAATTTTCTATTAACAGTACCTGAATAGCAGAAGATATCCACCTCCTCCAAGCTTCTCAAGCCAACTAATTCTGACAAGATTCAGAAATCGTGATATAATTCAGCTGGTTTAATTTTACCTTCAATCCTTGTATTCTTCAATCTTTTGAAATTTAATCCATTTACTTATAAAATTTTAGAAATATGAAATGAGGGTGTAATTGAAAGAAAGAGTGACAATCTTACCTTTAATATCTATTGATCCTTTTAATTCAGAACCTCCAAGAGACAAAGACCTCAGATTTGGAAACCTACCAAGAGATGACAATATGCTATTGTTGAAGAGATTCCCCCGCAAATCAATCACTTCTAAATTCATCAGCCTTGATTCTGTCGCATTATTAATTTGATTTCTTTTATTAAACCAATTTAAACTTTGATTAGAATAATTGAATAATGTTATATATTTGACTTAGTACATAAGTTTTAAATATTATATAATTAAATAAAATAGAAAACAATTTAGAGTGAAGAACCCAAGCTTTCAATCTCATTGCCGTGTAAATACAATTCCTTTAAATTTTTCAAAGTACTGAATTATGTTGAAATCCATGAATTCAACCTCAATCCAATTATTTTAAATCAAGCATCATAATAATAATAATAAAAATCCCCCAAATCAAGCATGGGGTTGTAAAATAAAACTTACCCAACAAATCAACTGTTCCTTATAATCCACAATCCTCTAGATTCAATGATTTTAAAGAAGTAAAACCATAATTGTGATAGCATCGACAACCAATCATCATTCGTAATCAATCGTATTTTACGGCAAGATCGATACCAAAATGTTTGCATTTTACTCCTCTTTCTTCTCATAGGATTTTTTTCATAAAATTCACTCAAAATCGACGAAAATTCATTTAAAAGTTCAACGTGCTAATACATAATCTCTTCTAATGACTGTCCAATAAGGATAGTTTTGAAGTATTGTTCATCTTCTCGAAATAATACTTCTCACCATTTGGATTTTCGAACAAACATCTCATAACACTCAAATCTAATAAATCCCCCCAAATTCAAAAAAAAAATAGTAAGTTGTTTTTTTGTTTAATTTCATCGATTTTGGGTGAGTCTCATGAAAAACCAGTTCTAGGAGAAGAAAGAGGAGTGAAATGCGAACACTTTGGCACAGATCTTGCCACGAAAGATGACATATGACGAGTAATGATTGCTTGTCGGCCACGCCTAGGAATGTACAATGACAAAAAGTGAAATGTTTAAAAGTTTAGCGACAAGATCAATATACCCTAAAGCTCAGTGCCTAAAACGAAACAACATCGTTTGAGGCATCAATAGCCGCATCAAAACGATTTCGTTTTGTCCATGTCATCACATTGTTTGAATTTTAACGGCCCATTGATATAATTGAAATCAAAACCAATGTCCAATACTATAAATTGAATAAATTAAAAGTTCAGTGATATTTAGTAGAATTTATCCTTTTTCTATTTGGAAGCAAATTTTGGATATCAAAAGACAATTTTACCTTGGACATGTAAGGTGCCATTGAGTCCACAACCCCATATGCTTAGAAACTTGAGAGAAGGCATTGCACCAATTTTTTCAAGAAAGTTATTTGCAAGAGGAGTAAGATATATGTCCAAAGACTCCAAATTCTTCAATTGAAATACTGAAAAAGATCAAATGGATGATACGTTATTGAAAATTTTAAGAAATAAAATTATTTTTACGAGAAAGAAATGGAAGTAAAAGTACATTTCTTTCTACTCTTTTTTTTTCTTTATATATATTTAAAGGTTCAAATTACCTTGTAGAGTGAAGTTTTGGCTGATCTCACACGAGGACAACCTCAAATGCTTCAAAGAAGAAAATCCTCTTGGACTTCCAACAGAACCTTTCAAGACCAACTCTTCTAAGTTTGTGAAATTATATATATAATGAATTAAAGCAATGTTGAATATCATAACTTACTGTTTGGAAAATCGGATGTCACCATCGTATCATTAAAACTAAAACCTCCCAAAGAAAGAGTCTTTAACGATGGAAATGAGCCGAATGACTGTAGCAGAAGGCTACAACCTACACGAAATGGTACATTTTTTAATTACTTTATTTCTTTAGAAAATTCCAATTACATTTTTTTTTAAAAATATTTCAAATTATTAAACTAACAAATTTAAATTTATGTTGATTTATAAACCCATAATTTTCTATTAGCAGTACCTGACCAGCAGAAGATTTCCACCTCCTCCAAGCTTCTCAAGCCAACTAATTCTGACAAGATTCAGAAATCGTGATATAATTCAGTTGGTTTAATTTTACCTTCAATCCTTGTATTCTTCGAACTTTTGAAATTTAATCCATTTACTTATAAAATTTTAGAAATATGAAATGAGGGTGTAATTAAAAGAAAGAGTGGCGATCTTACCTTTAATATCTATTGATCCTTTTAATTCAGAACCTCCAAGAGACAAAGACCTCAGATTCGGAAACCTACCAAGAGATGACAATATGCTATTGTTGAAGCGATTCCCCCGTAAATCAAGCACTTCCAAATTCATCAGCCTTGATTCTGTCGCATTATTAATTTGATTTCTTTTATTAAACCAATTTAAACTTTCATTAGAACAATTAAATAATATTATATATTTGACGTATTACATAAGTTCTAAATATTATATAATTAAATAAAATAGATAACAATTTATAGAGCTAAGTGAAGTACCTTGGAATGAAGATCCCAAGCTCTCAATCTCATTGCCGCCTAAGTACAATTCCTTTAAATTTTTCAAAGTACTGAATTCTGTTGAAATCCATGAAGTCAACCTCAATCCAATTATTTTAAATCAAGCACCATAATAATAAAATAAAAAAATAAAAAAAAATTGAATGGCACAAATTGATTTGGTTTCCTGCTCATGTCCCAAAATTTTCCATTGTGGCTTGGATGGTGATTCTGGATAGGCTTCCTACAAAGGATAGGTTAGCCAGATTTGGAATTCAGGTTGATCATATCTGTGGTCTGTGTGGAGTTGAGCTGGAATCTCGGAATCACTTGTTTTTAGAATGTTCTTTCGCCCGAGAGGTTTGGGATGTAATCTTGCAGACTTCTGGTCTTCATAACTAGTCGATTCTTTGCTGGGATGATACTTTGCACTGGCTGGCCTTGAATTTGAGGGGTAAATCCCTTCTTGTTTGTATCCTAAAGCTTGCTTGGACTGGTTTTGTCTATTTTCTTTGGGAGGAACGTAATCATAGGCTGTTTAGAGGTGTTAATCGTTCGGTTGATGCAATTGTTCATAAAATTAGAGATTCTATAAGAATTAAATTGTATAGATGCAGTATAAACTTGATTGATGATATAAATAGGAGACTATGTCTAGATTGGGATTTGTCTTAGTGTTATATTGTTCTTTGTAGCAGCTTGCTGCTCCTTTTGGATGAATAAAATCTTTACTTATCCAAAAAAAAGAAAATAAAAAAAATTCCCCAAATCAAGCATGGGATTGTAAAATAAAACTTACCCAGCAAATCAACAGTTCCTTCTAATCCACACAACTGTAGATTCAATGATTTTAAAGAAGTAAAACCATGTAATTGTGATAGGATGTTGTTACTTAAGCTGTTACGAGATAAAATCAAAGTCTCCAAATTATTCAATCTTGATAGCATCTTAATACCTGCACCCAAATATGAAGGACCGCCAAAAAAGAATTGAGAAGCATTAGTATAATAAGTGACAAAATCTGTCCTTAAAGTTTTGTAAAATAATTAATTTAAACCCTATTTTTCTTAAAACATTTTTATTTTTCAATGTTTTATTATTGATCAAAATGTTTTTTTTATGAAATTGTTAGTTGACTAATGGTTAACGCTTGTGGTTGATTTGACAGTGACACATGTCAAGTGTTTTTAAGTGAGTGTAAAAATATCATGTAAGCAATTAAACATGCCAACAACAAACATTGACCTACAGTTACTATTTTCATCAGAAAGAAGGGACCAACTTGACCAAAATCAAAACATTAAGAATTAAAGTGATTTAAAACAAATATATGAATCAAAGTCATTATCCAGACAAACGTTAAGGGTAAATTCTGACATTATAACAATTAAATATGACTTTACCATTAGTATGATTCGATCCTGTCAATGGGAAGTTGTATGATAAATCCAAAAACTTGAGGGATGAAAGTTCACTTAAGGACATGAAAATGCTATCATTGAAATAATTTTCACTTAAATCAAGTATCTCCAATTTCTTTAATTTCGAAGACAGCCTTTCGAAACCTAAAAAGAATAAAAAAGAGAGATTAAATTAATAAAAATAAGTAATTGAAGTGATAATGAAATCGAAAAGAAATGAACCTTGGTCGGCAACACAACCAGCAATGTAATTTCCTCCCAAGGAGAGATTCTTTAATTCCTGAAAAGGAAGAAATAACGAAGCATTCAAATACCAAGGAACTCTATTATGGAGACCATACGGACCTTCATCCCGTGGCGCATCAAGAAATAGTTTGATAACTCGTCCGGTGGTTGGGTTGCATTCAACCCTCTCCCATTCACAGCAGTTTAATGAAGTCTCTTTTTCCTCTACCGGGTAATAGCTAACATCATTTGTATAATCAATGAGAGGAAAGAAAGGTTTGAGTCGGGAGAGAGCGACTCGTTCTTCCTCCAAGCAACACTCACACCACCCCAACACTAAAAACGCCAACAGAACCATAGCACACCATCTCGACTCCATCTGCTCACTCATCAACTATTTCTTATGCTTTTGTGGCCAATATTGTTAACCCATTATATACTACAACGAAAGGGACCACCCCTCATGTTTCCCAGAAATTCATTCATCATTAAGGCTCCACTCATACTTACATAAATTAGATATTGTTAAAAATTACAATATAATTGACTTGATAAAGAAAAGAAAAAAACTAAAAGAAAAGTGAAGTTAAAGAGTGGAGTATAGACTTATAGGCACATCTCATTTGTAAAGAAATATTTTTCTTCGGTTAACTTTTGATTGAAAGCAAAAAAGTTTTGTTGGAATAGATTTATTATTACTCTTATAAATGAATTTAGGGTTACAAATATTCTTGTATTTTGTTATTTTTAACATTTAATAAATATTTTATTTACACCAGATTTTTTTAGAAAAAAAATACATGAACTTATATATTTCTATTATATACTTTAATTATTGTTATTTTTCAAATATTCGTAAGTAGACCATGAGCATAGAATCGAGTGTGTTCACACTATAGTTGGAAAATTTTCAGTCCATAGAAAGAAACGTGTCCTACCTTGTTGGAAATTTTGATATCAAGTCTTTGTCTCTCACATTGACGAAAGCAGAGGTACTTACCCAAGAATTTTCTATTGGAAAAAAAGGAATTAGGCTTAAGGTCCACGAAGTTTTTGGTGGGGTGTTCAAAAATATCTGATTTCATTGACGCGGTTTGTGGACCTATTGGTCTAAAATTTAAAAAATCGAATAATTAAAAAAGAATATTCGACCGGGTTAGGTACTCGACCTATGATTTTTCTCGAGTAGGTGGATCAGTTCCTGACCGAATTTTTTTATAACCGGGTACCCGACCCAATCTAATAATTTTAATATATATATATATATATATTAGTTTAAATTATATTTTTATTTTTGATTCCTTAATATTTTTACCTTAAAACTAAATTTAAATCTCTAAATTTTTTTCAGGTTTGTATTATATACTTTTAAGTTTTATTTTTTTAATTTTTTTATTAATTTGTCGAAATGAGATTCGAAAGAAAAAATCACGATCGATATTAATATTTTTAATATTTTCTTTTATAAATAAAATTTAATATATATATATATTCAAAAAATTATCCTTATAACTAACTTCAAATCACTAATTTCTGTGTATGGATTGTGTGTATTATGAAGTTTTAAATTTTATGTATTTTCTATGTGTTTTTTTAAACAAATATGAACAAAGTATCCGGATTTAGCAGACCGAGTCACGGGCCGAAAAATATTCTATCCGGAGAATCGGGTACCCAGTATTCCGAGTACCCGAATTTGAACACCCCTATTTTTCAGATCTATAAAAAAATAAGTTTTTTTTAAAAATAAACTCAATTAAAATTTCATTTAAATAAAAGATTAAAATATATACATATATATATTGAAATTTTAAAATAATTTTAATAAGTTTTTTATATAAATATATTTGAATTTTCAACACAAGCATTCGTATTCAACAATTAAATTTCATATATTTGAAGTGTTGGGTCTCATTGTAAATTCCTTAAGAAATTTCGTTCGAACATGAGAATGTAATTCTTTTAATTCTATGTACCAAAATAATAATGAATATAAATGTAAAAATATCAAGATATTGATGACGGCCTTGACATGTGATAAAAACAACTAATAATACTTTAATATATTTTATAATTATATATATATATTTCATGATGTAACAAAAAATAGAATAATAATATTATTCTATAATATTTGGGTCAGTATATCAAAAAATAATAATGTTATTCACCGCTACACACGTTAATGTATATATGATTTTTTTTAAATAAATTTAGAGGGAATATAAGATAATATATATTGAAAGACTCCTAGTTATTTGATAATAAATATTTATATCTTTTTTATATGTGATGTTGAAACTTAAAAACCTCAAGGAATAATAACAAATCTCTTAATCACTAAGATTGCTTAATTTATGTATATACGAATCATCAGTATTAAGGTTTTGGATAAAATATTTATAATTTATACATGCTTATCTGAATTATAAAATTTAAATAATTTACTAATATTTTAAAAATAAAACTTAATTATATAAAATATATATATTTTTTTAAAAGAAAATATCTTTCATCAAGAGAGAGACCTTCAAAAATTCCCCACAACTCTACATCCAAAGTCGAATATTTCTTAATCGTTTTGAAAAAACCTTCAATCCATCTTTTATCATGGTCTCGAATTACACCACCACAATATGCATAACCATCATTATTATTGCGAAAGCTTTCATTTGGTGGACACTGCCACCTAATATTGCGATTCACAGGCGTTGTCCGAGATGTATCAGTTAAAGCACGAGTAGCATGTGCATGTGCATCTCCCGATTTAAGATAAATACTCTTGGGAAAGAACCGAGTAGCATTATATACTTTAATTATTGTTATTTTTCAAATATTTGTAAGTAGACCGTGGGCAGAGAACCGAGTGTGTTTAAACTATTGTTGGAAAATTTCCGGTCCATAAAAAGAAACGTGAAAGACCATCCTACCTTGTTGGAAATTTTGATATCAAGTCTTTGTCTCACATTGACGAAAAGCAAGAGGTATTAACCCAATAATTTTCTATTGGAAAAAAGGGAATTAGGCTTAAGTTCCACAAAGTTTTGGGAGGGGTGTTCAAAAATATCTGATATCATTGACGAGGTTTGTTGACCTACTGATTCAAAATTTAAAAAATCATATAATTAAAAAAATTATTCGACCAGGTTAGGTACTTGACCTGTGATTTTTCTCGGGTAGGTGGGTCAGTTTCGGACCGATTTTTTTTTGTAATCGGGTACCCAACCCAATCTAGTAATTTTAATATATATATATATATTAGTTTAAATTATGTTTTTATTTTTGGTTCCTTAATATTTTACTTTAAAACTAAATTTAAATCTCTAAATTCTTTTTAGGTTTGTATTATGTATTTTAAGTTTTATTTTTTTATTTTTTTTATTAATTTTTCGAAATGAGATTCAAAATAAAAAAATCACGATCGATATTAATATTTTTGATATTTTCTTTTGGACAGAAATATAGAACGGAGTATAGACTTATAGGCACGTCTAATTTGTACAGAAATATTTTTCTTCGGTTAACTTCTAATTAAAAGTAAAAAGTTGTTGGAATAGATTTATTATTACTCTTATAAATGAATTTAGGGTTACAAATACTCTTGTATTTTTTTAACATTTAATAAATATTTTATTTACACGTGATTTTTTTTAAAAAATACATGAACTTATATATTTCTATTATATACTTTAATTATGGTTATTTTTCAAATATTCGTAAGTAGACCGTGAGCAGAGAACTGAGCGTATTTACAGTATTATTGAAAAATTTTAGGTCCATAGAAAGAAACGTTGACGAAAAAAAGAGGTAAATAACCCAAGAATTTTCTATTGGAAAAAAAGGAATTAGGCTTACCACCCCATGCAACCCTCATAGCCCACCATCTCCGCTCCATCTGCTCACTCATCACCTATGTCATGCTTTTGTGGCCAATATTGTGAACCCATTCTATACTACAACGAAAGGGACCACCCCTCATGTTTCCCAGAAATTCATTCATCATTAAGGCCCCACTCATACTTACATAATTTGGATACTTTTAAAAAAATTACAATATAATTGACTTGATAAAGAAAAAAAATAAAAGAAAAGTGAAGTTAAAGAGTGGAGTATATACTTACAGGCACATCTAATTCGTAAAGAAATATTTTTCTTCGGTTAACTTTTGATTAGAAGTAAAAAGTTATCTTGGAATAGGGTTGTTATTACTCTTATAAATGAATTTAGGGTTACAAATATTCTTGTATTTTTTTATTTTTAACATTTAATAAATACTTTACTTACACGTGATTTTTAAAAAATAAAATACATTAACTTATATATTTCTATTATATACTTTTTTTTTGAATGAAAGAGAGGAACAAATAACTTTAGCTAATACTAGCAAGCATCGAATCGTCTCGAAATTCCTGCTAAAACAAAGACATTACGGTCAATGGTGGATCCTGAAAATTGTGCAAGCCAGCAGGGAGGGACCAAGCAATATTGGTCATACGATCGGCCAAACGGTTGCTCTCACGAGGTGCGTATGTGAAACTCAAATTCCAGCTGCGTCCAATAAAGCGCCAAATATGTTGTAACATCGAAGAGACAGTCATGCTTCTCCTATTACCGGTAAGTAAATGAATGACTTGTTTACTATCCGATTTAACACAAACCGATTGCGACCCCATATTCAAAGGCTTGTTTACTGTCCGAGGTGTACCAGTTAAAGCACGAGTAGCATGTGCATGGGCAGCTCCCGATTTAAGTTGAATACTCTTGGGAAAGAACCGAGTAGCATGTCCACGAGTAGCATTATATACTTTAATTATTGTTATTTTTCAAATATTCGTAAGTTGACCGTGAGCAGAAAATCGAGTGTGTTTACACTATTGTTGGAAAATTTCAGTCCATAGAAAGAAACGTGAAAGACCATCCTACCTTATTGGAAATTTAGATATCAAGTCTCTGTCTCTCACATTGACGAAAAGCAAGAGGTAATTACCCAAGAATTTTCTATTGGAAAAAATGAATTAGGCTTAAGTTCCACAAAGTTTGCAGATATAGATGACGAGCTTGACATGTGATAAGATCAATTAATAATATATTTTATAATTATAAATATATTTTTTATAATGTAAAAAAAATACTCGCTTTGTTCCATAAAAAAACATCTCTTATTGATTTTTTAAAATTCAAAATTTTTAAACTTTAACCATGATTTTTTAAATATTTAAATTTTATAAAATATATATTTACAAACTATTTGATTGAAGTTTTCTAAAATATAACTTTACATATTTTTATCGATAATAAATTTTGAATCATAATGAATCAAAGTTAAAAAAATTGACCCAAAAAAAATCAATAATGGACATTTTTTTATGAGAAAGAGGGAATATTATTATTATATAATATTTGGATCATTATATCAAAAGATAATAATGATATTCACAGCTACAATCCAATGTATATATGATTTTTTTAAATAAATTCAGCGT